GGAATAGATTTTGCATGGAGAGAAGATGGAAGAGAAGACAATAAAAGAAGAAACAAGAGCACATGTTTGGGAAGCCGAACGTGTCAGCATGGGTAGTGTGAAACAGTGAAAGACAATGATGAGTCAGAACTGGACTTGTGAAACAATTTAATTGACTCCAACTTTGATTTTTCATCCTTTATTTTGTCAATCTTGTCTTTGAACTTGACTTCTGGGTCGCGGAGAGAAGATGGAAGAGAAGACAAGAAAAGGAGAAACAAGAGCACATGTTTGGGAAGCCGAATGCGTCAGCATGGGCAGTGTGAAAGACAATGATGAGTCAGAACTGGACTTGTGAAACAATTTAATTGACTCCAACTTTGAATTTTCATCCATTATTTTGACAATCTTGTCTTTGAACTTGACTTCCGGGTCGGCCTCCTCGTGCCAATCCATTCCCAAAATCATATCAAAAGGCAGATTTTTTTATGTGAGGAAGGTTACTTCATGCAAAAAAAAAAAATCTTCCTTGGTTTTCAAATAACATTTCAAACGATCAACAAACTGAGAGACAATGATTGTGCTCTTATCATCAAGCATAAACGTGATAAGTCTTGGCAGATCCTGCACTCTCATTCCCAGATACAACTTACGAATTGCCTTTTCTAAGACATAGGACCACGTTGAACATGGATCTAAGAATGCACCTACTCAGGTGCGCGTAATCTCTACTTCAGCAATCATCAATTCACCCTTAGACTTAGCTTTCTTTGCCAATGAACTTCGTGAAGCTATCAATTCACATCCAAGTTCATCAAGGGTATCACCCAGTGAGACAGAACACAAAACTTCCTCAGGGTGTTCTGGTTGAAAGATTGAAGAATAGTCATCCTCTGCCTTGCGAGTCGGGGGTTGAAAGGGGTTGTAGGAACCTTACCTTTGTCTAAACTCTCCAACTTAGTAGGAGCATACGCTAGCTCTACTCGATGCTCCCTTTTGGGTTCCGGATGAGGGGATACCATGCCATTATGGGTCCCACAGCACTTCAGGCACTACCTGTAATCTAGGCACTCCTGCCATTCCGTCTAGGTGAGGCCCATCTTCACCCATGACCAACCAGACGCAATGCCAGGATGCTCCAGGAAGGAGCGTGACCTCCTCTTCCTATATCCACCATTTTGATTGGTGCCACACTGCCACCCTTGTTGGCCACCATGGCAGTGACATCACCCTTTCCAAACTCACCGCCACCATTTGCTTTTTCCCTTGCCTCTTCGAGGGGCAATCTTTCAACACTCGACGACGAGAGTGTGGTCCTGCCGCCACATGACTTTCTTTCCATTATCCTACCCACCAGTCGGTCACTCCTCACAACGCTAGTGTAGGTTTCCTTAGCATGCGCAGTCATCTGCTCTCATTGAAAGATGAGATCTCTGAATTGCCTATAGTTGTACCTACCTGACTTGGCCTCTGCCACAAGAGATCCTTGTATGGACTATGAGAAAGCGCGTGAGTAGATGTACACTATGTATCACCCGCGGCCGCTGCTGCGTGGTCAAACTCGGCGGGTGAACGTGATCATGGCCGCCGGTGCTCTGATCGCGGTTCAGTGCGGCCGCGACTTTCATAATTTTTTTGAGACTTAAACCACTAGTATCTCCGAGCTTGTTTTTGCCAACCCTGAATTTCACTGCACTCCGAGTTTGCCGACCCTGGGTACCACTCCGTTTTTTTTCTGGCACTTTCATGGGAAAAAAAAAAAAAAAAAAGGTTGTGGCCGTGACTTAGAAAAAAAAAAAAAAAAAGGAAACAAAGCTTTGGCCATGATTGCAGTTGTATACATTCTTGGAAGTGGTAGTGTGAGTGTGCCCTCAATGAGGGCATCTCAACCCCGTGGCCAGGTTGTCAGATTCCAAAAAGATAATAGAAGGTGAAAAAAACGGGCACATGGATCCGGTCGTGAAAATGGATGGATACATTCCCCTAAGTGCCAGGGTGATGAGACTTACAATCCTCTGAAAAAACAAAACTTGAGCAGATCATGGACAACTTGAGTAATTCATGGACAGGGAGCTCATAAGAAACACACGACCAAGAAAAAAAGAAAACAGTAACATTCAGAATGTAACCGCCTTACCTGTAAGGTGCATTCTGTAGAAGAAGATTGTACACACGGCCTCCTAGACTACCCTACCCGACATCATTGCAGTAGAGAAAGCATTTTTTTTTCCCCCTTTTTCCTTTAACTCATGGCACTATAAAATTCAGATTTATGGGAAATTATCGACCATGTATCCGACCCCCGATGTCTTCGGGAACTGGCAAAACATCGTAATTTCCCAACACTGACGGAGGTACTAGTGGTTAAAAACAATTCTTAAAAATAAAAATAAAAAATATTATGTTGTAGATCTTTTCGAGATTTACATTGCACAATTTTTTATTTTTACTTCGTCTTTGAATTTTAAAAATTGAAAAACTAATTTTCCTATGACAATTTTTTTTTTCCGTTTTTTTTTTTTAAGAAGAAAATGAAACTTATATGTTTTTTTATTTCAAATTCAGTTAAGTTTTTGTATATGACCACAAGACAATTGTTCAATTTTGTGCAAAGCTGAGATTAAAGAACATGGACTGTGTTGTTCTTGTAAAATTCAACTGTTGACGCTTTGGTAGTATGCATTTAATAGTTCTTAGGCATTTGATAGCATTTGTTAGTTCTGTTAAATTTTCATTCTAGTCTGTTTTGGGTCTGAATCATACCTGTAGCTTAATGCTGCTCTTTTTCTATCTTCTGGTTTTCCTTTTTCTGTTGTTTGAGCATAACATCATGCTGACCACAATCTAGTTTTTGGGTTTGACCGATGATGTCTCGCCTTGAAATTGGACTGACGGACTCTTGTAAGGGACGCCAGACCCGTTTTCTGGCTTTGTAATATAAGGAACACAGGGCCCGATTCCCGGTTTTGCAAAAAAAAAAAAAAAACTTGTTCAATTTATTTTTCTACATAACATATTTTTTTCAAGAATTTTTTTTTTTATTATTATTATTTTTTTTTTTCATGGTCTCGGCCGCGCATGGCCGCCTCCGGGGGGGATTCATAGGATGTACAACACCTGGTTATCCTGCAAATTCAATACAGGTACCTGCAACAACCGATCCAGTTCACGGGATAGAGTTTCGACACTAGACCAACGTTTCTGACTAACTGTCGTGAGCTCGTGAAATGCCTTATCGATAGTCGTTTGTCAAGGAACCTCTCCTTGATCTTTTGGAGAAATTCCCGCAAGGTCATGGTACGAGCCCAATCCCCAATATCCTCGAAACCAGCGACATTGGCTTTGGACAACACCCACTCCTTGGTGGTTTCTCCAAGACAAGACGAGGAGAATGACACTTGACTGTCCTCGACCACTGGTGTGGTCCCATAGTAAGTTTGTAATTCAGCAATCCATGATAAAAACAAATGTTCACCTTTCTTTCCGTTGTAAGTAAATGAAAGATTAATTTTCACATTTTTTTTCTTTTTCGGTTGTTCCGCTTCTTCTTTCTTCGGGGC